ATCCAAAACACAGCACTGTACCAGCTACTTGGAAGAAAATTAACTCTATCCCAGCCGAAACCAGGACATGACCTCATCTAGTTGAGTTTTTAATGACTTCAGGGAAGAAGGTTCTGTAAGATTTCTGAGCAAACTCATCCTGTATTTTGCCACCCTCATGGTAAAAGTTATTTTGCACATATCAAGTCATAATCTCTCATGTTTCAACTTGTGTCTATTTCCTCTCATCCTTCTACAGTGCACTCTGGCTCTGTCTTCTCTATACCCTCGCATTAGGTAGTTGTGGACAGCAGTAAGACCTCTTCTTAGTCTTCTCTCTTTGAGGCTGAACAAATCCAGTACCTTCAACCTCTCCATGTATGTCATGTACTCCTGCCTTGTGACCAACTTGGCAGTCCTCTGTTTGACTCACTCCAGTCAGGTCTTTCTTTTACTGGGGAGCCCAGAGCTGGACCCAGTAGTACAGAAGTCGTCTCACAAATGCTGAATAAAGGGGAGTAATCACTTCCCTGGACCTGCTGTCTTCGTGCTTACTAATACAGCACAGTACACAGCTGGCTGCCTTTGCCACAAGGGTGTACTGCTAACTCACATTCAACTTACTGCCCCCCAGGACCCCCTGCCCCCAGGTCTTTTTACACAAAGCTGCTGTCTAGACAATGGGCTCCAGCCTGTACAGTTGCATGGGGTTATTCCATTCCAGGTGCATGGCTTTGTGTACATTTAGGCTGAAGACTAAAATAATTTCTCATAGCCAGGACTGGAAAAAATGGGAGAATCATGGGATAAAAAATTCATTGATTTCATATGGGGCATATCAGCTACTTCTTAGTAAATACATTACTTACATTACTTAGTAAGTACTTAGATGTCAGCTAACAGGTGTAGCATTCCTTAAATGTCTAATAAAGTTACCAGAAATACACCTTAAATAAAAAGTCATTAATTAGTTATTTCACTGATATTACAGTGGCATCAATCCCATACCTGTTTAATCACTGCCTACTTCAACAGAATATAATTAGAATTGCATAAGCCTTTGATTGAAGCTGCTGAATTGTCCTTCCTAAGCAGTCACACAGACACATACTTAATTAGAAACTTTGGCACCTGTTTATTTCATGCCAACATTCTAAATTTAAACACCAACCTAAATCAGTACTTATCCCAGGAGTTACTACACTGACTGAAGATTTCAGTCAATGCTTCCTGAAACAGCACTTATTAGTATCTATCTTACTGGGTAAGCAGTAAATTCTGAAATTCCTTAAATAGCTTGTTAAAAAAAGATAATCTCTCTAGGTGCCTTGAATGGGCAGAATGTACCTTCCTGACTGTATTGTTTGATAGGCAACTATCCAATATATCCCACTACTCAGTTTTCACCACAGCCTCGTTTCCTAGAACTGAGATTTATAAAAATGCTCCCTAGTAAAACATGTAAGCTTACCCTACATACACAATTTTGAAAGAGACAGGCCTTTGGTTCCTACCTACTATATAAAAAGCATTCTATGAAGATGAGTTTTTCTTTACAGTGATCGTGATTTTTAGTTTAGTTTGTTACAGCTCCTTACAAATGAATCCCTCTAGTCCTCTGACTAGAATAAATTTTCTACACTTTAAGGGAATAAATGTGGATGTAGCAAGAAGACTGGACATTGGAATAGGCACACATTAGATCCGGTAGAAAGCTGAGTCATTTACTAGGTGGCAGTTCCTGGACATGATTTCACAGAAAGTAAAGTTGTGAGCAGCAACCAAAGCAGATCTCCACACAACAGACACATTTTGCCCCTCCTTCCTCTCACTGAAAAGAGCTCCAGAGCACGCAACAGTAGGTCGTACAATGATGGAACCTAAACCAATTTACAGAGGATTGCCTCAAACACCAGAAAGGTGCTATGCCTTGATCTGTGCTCTGAAAAAGATTCTTTCAGTGGCAAAAACCATTTTCTATTGTGAAAGACCTGTATTTTCCATAGAAGTATAAAATTGGACACCCTGACATCAAAACAAATACACGGTGCTGGAAAAAGTAGCTCATGGGGTGGCAGAACAAGACATAAGCCTGGACTGTAGAAGGGCACCTCACCCATACCACAGCCCTACTCTAGAAGGAAGCAAAGCATATTCAGCAGCAGATTTCACCCACTGAACATAAAGGCACACTCACCTACGCTTTGGCTGGAAGCTGAAAGGATCCACGTTGCTACCTGCAACAGGGTTCTATTAACACTAAAGGATTCTGTCGTGGTTTAACCTCAGTCAGCAACCGAGCACCACACAGCCGCTTGCTCACTCCCCGCCTCCCCCCCCCCCCCCCCCCGGGG